TGAATGAATGAATGAATGAATGAATGAATGAATGAATGAATGAATGAATGAATGAATGTAATAACTTATGTTGACATGACTAGAAGAATTATATTTGATTTACATCTAACTCTTCACTGGGGAGAATAAAAAGGCTGTTCTCTTTTTCTGCTCTTTTAGGAAAGCTGAGTAGCCTAGGGATCCAAATTTAAGTATGAGAGTCAGTTTAGATAACCAATCATAAAACAGAATTTAGAGTCATGGAATGTAAGGTGGAAAGGACTCTGAAGATTATCTAATCCAATCCCTACCCAGTGCAGCCGCATGCCCTATTTCATCCACTTCAATCAGGAAATGATTAACCTGGGCTATAAAAAGGCAGAATTTTTATCTAGATCAATGTTTCTCAACCTTGGCAAGTTTAAGATGTATGGACTTCAACTCCCAGAATTCTGGGACCATGCTAACTGGGCAATTCTTTTGTAAAAACAAATGTAAAAAAAATGACCATCTTCTCAAAAGTCTCATTCCTTGCCCCTTTGTCCCTCATCCTCCATCCCAATGATGCGAACCATGCTACAGATCTTCAGTGACAGTGGTCTCCGAGGCCATAAGCAAAGTATTTAGGGACTATATATAGCTTTACACCTTCTCCATAACATTGTGATAGGAATAGTAAGGCCCTCAACTTTAGAAAAAATATCTAAAAAAGAGAAAGAAAGAGATAAAGAGTTATCTTCCTGCAGACACTCAAGTCAGTTATGAATGTTTGATTTTCTCTACAAGTTTCCTTCCACAGCGGCTTAGAACTTCAGAAGAAATTTCTATGATAAATGTTTATTGGACCAGTAATACTTACCAAACTATTTTCCCCTAGATATTTGGAAACTGGGTGAAGATCCATCACATCAAGCTGTGATTGTATGAAGTAATAGATCTTTCTTGGGCATCCATGAAAGAAACCAGATCTTCTATTCCTATCAGATAATGGTAGCAACCAAATAAATATTTACAGTTTGGAGAGTGACATGACTTGATTTGACTTGCTTCAAATGCACATGAATACAAGCCAACTGGCCTGAGATCCCACACAGCATTACAGGATTCCTACTCACGGGGAAACTTGGGGAAGAAATGGACATATTTGGTCAACTGGCTAACAAGCAAGAACATAAATGCCCTGGTCAATGGATCAGACCAAGCATTCATCTTGTCTAGAATTCTGTTTTCCCCAGTTGAAGCTCTACAACACATTAAAAACAAAAAATCCAGGCGGAGTTTCTATTGCACCATCATGGCTGCAATCTTGACTTGTTTACCATACCCCTGACTCTTGCTCAGAGGTGACAAATAAATGAGGATGTACAAAGCAAGAAAATCTGCCAGACTAGAAGTACTCATTCTTTAACAGTGTTGTATGCATTTATGCTTCTCTTTCGTCGGTTAGCATAATTTTAACAAAAATTAAAAAGCCGTGATTCTACAGCCCAAGTATTCAGGATTGTTGTTTTTTGGTTAAAGAGGGCTCGGTATCTCCTTGTTATTACAGTATGCTTTGCCTCCACCAGCAACTTCTTTGCCTGTCTCACTACAATTTCTAATCTTGCAAGCAAGAGGTCTAAAGCCAAATTGAAAAGGAAAGAAGAGGACAGGAGTGTTCACAGGGTATGCTCAAAAAAGTCAAGACAGCGATCATGATGGTGTGACTGAAACTCTGCTGGTTATGGATTTTGTGCAATTGAAGCTCCAGGGCACACATAAAAAACAGGCAGAGGCTGATACACTATTGCAGTGGCCATCCTGACTTTTTTTGAGTACACTCTGCAAAGACCCCTGAAGCATCTTGGTGTGAACCTCTACATAAATTTAACTAAGGCAAAGGACTGCCATTAATAATAACCCATGATTTAAATGTGGAATAACTTGTATCAGTTCAAAATATAATAGTTTGGGTGAACTGGGGAGGAGAAGAGAAAATGAGGAACAGAGTGCAGCTGTACTAAAAGAAACTGAAGGGTATAAACTTCCTCTGTAATCAAGGTCATACAGATATAAAAGCAAATGTGTAATTAAGAACCAGAGATTTAAAAAAAAAACAGCCTTAATACAAGTAAATGGAATTTTAAAAAAACTAAGAACATTTTAAATGTTCATCTTTCAGCAGAAGCTTAAGAAGCAAAGCACTTTTCAGCTTCCATGTGGTTACGATTTCTAAAATAGATGGCCAGGTACCTGATGAAATATTGAAGATTCTCCTTTGAGTGGTATTTCTTGTATTTTGAAGCATATTTCCGCATGAGACTTTTGATCTCCTCTTTCAATTACACAAGCAAAGAGGGCCTTCTGTAAGATTTCATTTCTCACATAAAATTGAAGGAACTAAATGGCTGGGCTTATCAGCTGTGTGAAAAGGGGAGCCTGAATGCAATGACCTTTCTGAATATCTAGCCCAGTGTTTCTCAACCTTAGCAACTTTAAGATGTGTGGAGCTACTCCCAGAATTCCCCAGCCGGCATGCTGGCTGGGGAATTCTGGGAGCTGAAGTCCATACATCTTAAAGTTGCTGAGGTTGAGAAACACTGATTCTAGCCAAAAATCCCCAGGGAGAGCAAAAATCCTCCAAATCAAAGCTTTGATTGGCTGGCCTTTCTTAGTTTTGTCCAGGAATGTGTTGACTTGTTTCGCAACACTGATATTCTGGAGATGTGATTTTGACCTGAGGGATCTTAAAAGCCTTTAGTTAAATTAATTATATGTATCCATATGTAGTTAAATTAATTATCTGACTTCCTGAGTTCTTCTAGCTATGTCCATTGTTTTACCCTATCAACTGAGCAGGTCACTCTATCAAAACAATTCAGGTTACTTTGGCATAACTTGTTCTTGCTAAATTCATGCTGGCTGCTGCTAAGCACTGCCTTCTTTTCCAGATGCTCACAAACCAACTGTTCATCAGTTGTGACTAAGGATGCATAGTTTGTGATTTTCAGTATTCCTAGCTTGGTTGTGTGTCCCACCAAGCCTTTATCCATCCATGGATGCTGCTAAAAACAAATAAGGAATTGACCAAAGAAGCTAATCTTACTCTGTCTGCTAGACAGACTCTTTAACAAGTCATGGTTTCCATAATCATGGTGGTGTGAATACAGCCAGTGGTGTGTGAATACAGCCAGTCTTCAACTGGGATCATACAACACACTAGGCTGAAATGTAGTTTACTTGTATGCAATTTAGTGAGCTGTGTGCTCTCAGGAATTGTTGTTGGTTCAATAAACCATGGTTAAGCAAACCTCACGTATTTAGTATGATGTGTGACTTAGGCAACTGGGAAGACATTTAACTTTTGTGATATTTTACAGATTTGTATTTATTGCAGTCTTCATGTTATTCATGTTATGTTATAATTTACATGAATAATATTGTTTGGCTGTAACAAAAATGGAGATGGGGTGGGATGTGGGAAGCTGTTTTGGTGCCCTATATTTTATTTGTTGGAGTCTGTGCCAGAAGTGAATGTAGAAAAATGAAACTACAGTATTCTTCCATAGTGAACTCTGCCTTGTGTTCTTACAAGTTTGGTATTTGCTTTTGCTTTTAAGAACCTTTATGACATTTGTCATAATACTGTTTTCATGAGACATGCTGAACAAGCCAACTGCATTTTAACCTAGTATAATGTGTGAAATCAGCACTTGTAATTATTCTCCCCAGAAAATTGTGTTGAGTGAACCATGGCTAAGTCTGTGAAAGCTATCCTGCAGTTGCAGCCAGATTGCATGTTGGTATATTGTCCCTTTCCTGCCCCCCCCTTTTTTTTTCACCTTTACCATGGAATAAATAACAAGGAGAGAAGCCTGCAATCTTTCCTGGAACCCATGTCTGGAACAGCAGAGAGAATAATTCTTTGATCATAGTCTTTTCGGGTTTCTTTGATCTTTCTGAGAAGGTAATTGACTATAACTTCCATCTATGCAGCGCCAGCCATACGAATGTGAAGGGCATTGTCTGCCATAGTTGGATGAAAAATGAAAATCCTTCAGGAGCAAGAAATAAGAGCAGAAAGAACAAAAACCAGCAGGCAGTATAGTTCCAAGAACAGGCTAGTGGAGAAGAACAGCAACCAACGTCAAGCATTACCTGTAACCTTTTCATGGATGGTGGCCACAGCTGGCATTCTTGAGTAGTATCCTCCTGGGGGTTAAGGCTAAATCCTAACTTGGGCTCCGCTTTAAGTCCTTATCTTTCTTCCCCTGAGCCATCCTTGAGCTGTACTGGAGAAGGCTACCATATCTACTCTGCAGAAATCCAAACCACCATCTGGTGGCAGCAAAGAGATACAGAAAACCCTAATTCTTTGCTGCCATCAGTGATCCAGATCTTCCCCACCAAGATATAGCACTGGGTGGCTGCATAGGTGCTGATTTAATTCCTGCGATTGTGCTAAAGTAGCCCAGCCCTGAGGTATTGGGAGAGGTTAAAATTATCATTGGTTTTTGATCACCTAATATTGCTGCTGTCACTCATTCCCAACTAAGCCTGCTTGGGCTCCATGACAAATGAGTAGCTCTAGCAGAATACACTTTGCCCAGACTTCCCCCTCAAACACAGAGCCTAAATTAAGCTATATATGAAATGTTTTTTTCTACAGGCTTACCTAGGCCAAATTTCATCCTTTTCTCATACTCTCTAGTATAGTGTTTCTCAACCTGAGCAACTTTAAGATGTGTGGACTTCAATTCCCAGAAAAATTGTACGGCAATTACATTTTCCCAAGTTTATCATTAACTCAAGTTTTCAGACCAATGGATGCTAAGGCACATCCATGTGTAGATATAACAAAAGGCAGATGAAATAAAATCTGCAGAAATCTGTACACTCATGCAATGGCTTATGCAGTGGCTTTCACTAGAAAGCTGAATTGTTGCAAAGGTATGCCTATGTTCATCTGAGATACATTAGAGCAGTATTTCTCAACCTGAGCAACTTTAAGATGTGTGGACTTCAATTCCCAGAATTCCCCAGCCAGTTGCTCAGGTTGAGAAATACTGCTCTAATGTATCTCAGATGAACATAGGCATACCTTTGCAACAATTCAGCTTTCTAGTGAAAGCCACTGCATAAGCCATTGCATGAGTGTACATATTTCTGCAGATTTTATTTCATCTGCCTTTTGTTATATCTACACATGGATGTGCCTTAGTTTCCATTGTTCTGAAAACTTGAGTTAATGATAAACTTGGGAAAATGTAATTGCCGTACAATTTGTTATGAATATCAAGAGTTCAAAATCTACCTTAGCCTCTGCAGGGTACGTAACTGTGGCCTGTATGCTACAAGTTACCTTTGTATCCAAGCATAAGTGTTCAGATAAGTCTTCTCTATGGAAGGTCAAGTGCTAGGAGAATTGGAAGCCACTGAATCCTGAAAAGTGACATTTGCAGTTTGCAGACTTTTTAATTAAAAGAAGGCAATCCCCAGAAGGCACACGTAAGAACAAAATTGACTGAAAACTTTGCAGGAAGCCAGGAAATAGGGGCTGGTGGGGCAAATGGCAAGAGAGAGGAGCACATACAATCTTGTTCACCCAAGGTGCCATGCCACAGTTGCCTGTGCTATGCTATAAACCAGAGCAGTGTTTCTCAACCTTGGCAACCTTAAGATGAGTGGACATCAACTCCCAAAACTCCCCAGCCAGCATGGGTGATATTACAGCTTAGTGTAATATCTGGACCCAGTCTTTGTATATGCTAATATTGCCTGCTATTATTTTAAAAAATGCTCAGCTCCTGGGCAATTGGCCAGAATTGACTTGTCTTCTGCAGTACAATTAAGGAAATTGTTTATTCTGAGGCTTCCGTTAAGATCTAGAACCTTTAATGACCTGGTGTCCTCCAGATGCAAGAATAAGATTCCTATCATGGCCAGGCTTGTTGGATGTGATTGGATTGCAATGTAACACAGCTGCAGGCCATCAGATACATATTGTTGTATGATATGTATTTAATTATCAAAATGTCCTGATTCCCAATAGCCTTCAGGAATGTGGAACCTAACCTTTTCCAGATGTTGCTGAACCATTATCAGCCCCAGTTAGCATGGTTCATGGTGGCAAATGCTGCAAACTGTAATTCAGCAACCTCTGAAACGTGACAGATTATCCAACCCAGGCCCATAATATGCTGCTTTACCTCCTGTCACTGAATTAAACCCTTTCTTACATCTAGGTACACATGGACACTTGTAATACTGGTATTTTTATTGGAAGATTAGCGAAGAGAAATTGAATAGTGGTGTGTACTTTTCTCTCTTAGGTGCATGATACACAGAACTTCATATTTCCATGCAATGGTTAGCTATGTAACACAGTGTTAAGCCAGCATTCATTTTAGTCAAGGGTTATACTTGGGTTATAGCTTGGTTTGCCCTATCCTTGGTGGAATGCCTGAGTAGAGGAGGAGGATCTTTCTCATC